CTCTGTCTGTCTGCCAGGGGCGCGCGTCCTATAGCAAAAACCTCTCCAGAAAAAAAAAAAAGAGAGAGAGAGAGAGAGAGAACAGAGAGTGGAATGGGGACAGCCCTTTTGAGAGGTTTTGCAGCAAAGGGGAGAAGAAAAACGGAAGGGGGACGAGAAGGCACTCCAGGACCGGCAGGTTAGCAGGAAGTTGGCCCAAGGCCAGCTGCGGAGAAGGCAGCGAATGCAGAGGGGGTGTCGCTGGCACGAGGGCCACAGTAGGTGAGCAGGGAGGCCCTGGAGCTTAGGCTGTGGGTTCCGGGCAGAGCTCAGTAGGCGTGTGCAGGCTGTGGGTGCAGGAGCCGCTGACAGGTGAAGGGGGACAGGGCACTGGGCTTATTTTTTTTTTAGAATTATTTATTGGAGGGGACCAGCAGTTAGCATAATGGCTATGTTGCTGAACTCCCATGTAGCTGACCACGGTTCAAGTCCCAGACCCGGTGGCTTAAACTCATGCCGGGCGCATGTGCGTGCATGCCCAAGATCCCGAGAGGAGAATGGAGGAGAAGGGATTGCAGCACGGCCATCCCCCCCGGGGGTGCTTTCTCACTTTCTGTCTCTCTGTCTCTCTCTTTCTGGCGAGCGCAAGAGCCCTATAGCAAAAACCTCTCAAAAAAAATAAAAGAAAGAAAAGGAAAGGAAAACATACCTGGTGTGTGTGAGCATGCATGCCCGAGATCCCAAGAGGAGAGTGAAGGAGAAGGGACTGCAGCGTGGCCATCCCCCGGGTGGCGCTTTCTCTCCCACCGTCTCTCCCTGGTGAATGCACACAGCCTGTGGCGATGTTTTTTTCTGGCAATACTAATTTGTGCTACTAGACTTGAAGCTTGGGCTCGGGCGCACCACCTGCCCCGTGGTAGCTGTCCGCTGAGCCGCCAGCTGCTAAGTAGCGTGCACAGGGCCCCCGCCCACGCCGTCATCCGGGTCCTCCTGGCGGTGCGTCAGCCGCTTCAGCTTCTCCTCGGCATGGCCCTGGCTGGCGGGGCTGGCACGTGCCGTCCCCCTGCCCCACGCGTGGCTGTTGGTCCCCAGGAGCGCGGCTACTTTGAGGAGCTGATCTCCCTGCTGGAGGCGGCCCTGGGCCTGGAGCGGGCGCACATGGGCATGTTCACGGAGCTGGCCATCCTCTACTCCAAGTTCAAGCCGGAGAAGATGGCCGAGCACCTGGAGCTCTTCTGGTCCCGCGTCAACATCCCAAAGGTACCCGCACCCTCCCAAGGCCCGGCTCCTGCATCCCGTCCGCGTCCCGGGTGGCACAAGCCAACCCGCAGCACCGTCCCGGCCCCGTCAGGTGCTGAGAGCCGCGGAGCAGGCGCACCTCTGGGCCGAGCTGGTGTTCCTCTACGACAAGTACGAGGAACACGACAACGCCGTCCTCACCATGATGAGCCACCCCACCGAGGCCTGGACAGAAGGTCAGTTCAAGGACCTCGTCGCCAAGGTAAGAGGGCGTGGGGCGCGGCTCCCACCTGCCCGGGGCGGGACGCGGGCGTGTGAGTACCAGCGAGCGCTCCTGCACACGGCGTGTCCTTCATCCGAGACTCGAGACTCGCCTCTCTCCGGGCAGGTGGGCTGATTCCGCCTACACCGCAGGAGCACACACCCAGGAGGGGCAGGAGCCTGGCTGGGCTCTGAGCAGGTGGGCTCAGTGTGAACCCACAACTGCCTCTGCCCTGTAGCCCAGGGTTCTGGCCCCACATCCTGGTACCCATTTCTCTTTTAATATTTTTCCTATATTCTTTTTTATTTAATGATTTATTTTTATTTGTTATTATTCTTCATTTTTTAAAATTTGATCAGAGAGAGAAAAGTGAGAAAGCAAGCTGCCAGGTCCGGGACTTGAACCGCAGTCAATTGTGTGGGAATCCTGCGCCTTCACCACCACATCACCTGCTGGCCCCAACAAAGACAATATTTCAAAAATTGGAAGCAAAATTCTTTTTCTTTTTGTTTAATTATTTTATTTAACTTTATTCATTCATTTATTTATTTCAATTTGACCAGAGAGGGATAGAGAGAGAGAGAGAGAGAAAGCCGCCAGTTCCAGGGCTTGAACCACAGTCGGCAATGTGGGAGTCCAAGTCTCTCCCCGCAAAGCTGCCATCCTTAAAGAAATGCGGGCACCTGAGAGAGGTAGACACCCAGAGCAAGGTGACAGCCGGGGCTGTCGGCCTCAGGGTCCTCACCCGTCTCGGGAGTGGCCATGGCTCCTGCAGCCTCGATGGGCGAAACCAGGACCCCAAGTCCCCGACCAGCCCCAGAGGGCCGGGTGGAGTTGGCTTAGGTGTGAACCTCGAGCCAGCCAGCCCTGGCCAGGTCACTTTCCTGGTCTCCGGGCGTCCGGCCTCAGGACCTCCCCAGGACGTCCCCCCTCCGTGGAGCTCCGCGCTCAGGCAGCAGGTGGAGGGATGAAGGTCTTGCTCTCAGGCCTCTGGTGCTATCGCTTTGAGTGTCCTCTTGTCCCAGCGTCCTCAGGTAATCGCATGCCCGCAGTCCGGCCCCTCTGCCATGGCCCAGTGCCAGGTGGCACCTCGCTGCGTCTCGGTCTCGTCCCTCTCTGATCGGGGCCAGCAGCAGCACTGTGTCAGGGTTGTCAAGGGAGACGAGCCCACGGGGCGCAGATGGGTCCACACGTGCTTAGTGGGGAGTCGGCCCTCAGGACCCTGGTGTCTAGGAAGGCCCATCCAAGGCCGGCTGCAAGCCAGAGACCCTGGGCTGTTCGTGGCCTGGCTCCGTCCAAACCCAAAGGCCTTAAAGGCAGGGGGAGCTGGTGATGAGGCTCACAGTTCAAGTCAGAAGCCAAGATCCTGGGGTGGGGCACAGGCATGAACCCCAGAGCCCATAGGCAGGCGGGCCTTGGGCTCTGCGTCCAGGACAGAGCAGAAGTCTGACCCCGCCCCTCTCGAGAGCCCGCCTGCCATCCTCCCGGCCCCTGGGCCAGGGGTTCATGCCCACTCATGTCGGGGGCCGTCTCCCCACCTCACTCACCAGGACACCCCTGGCACACCCAGACTGACGCTTTCTCAGCTTTCTGGGCCTGACGAAGTCACTCTGGCTGTCGCAGGCCCTTGGTCCCTCCCGGGCGCCGCCTCCCCACATGCAGCTGTGCAGGAGGGGGCCTGGTGCCAGGCGGGCTGCAGGTCAGGGCGTCAGACTGCCCTTCTCGGAGAGTGGGGAGAGTAGTGGCCCTCGAGGTCAGGCGCCGGGTCACACGTGGAGCACGTGGGGCTGCTGGCCTCATTCGGCTGGGAACCCAGACAGATCACACCCCCTATGGCCCCTCAGGCTGGCAGGTCCCATGTCCGCATGATAGAAAATCTGTACTTTTTCACTTCTTTGTTATTTATCAACCAGAGCTCGCCAGAGAGAGGCAGGGAGGTTGGGGGGTGAGGGAGGAAACATCCCCCCCAATGCAGTTCGGTCACAATGCAATCCTTTCTCCACTTCTCCATCCTGTCGGGATTTTAAGCACACAAGTCCAGAGTGTTTTTAAAGTTGCTGGGGGATCAGCAGTTAGCATAATGGCTATGTCACTGGACTCCCATATAGTCAACCGCAGTTTGAGTCCTGGACCCGGTAGCTTAAACTCACTCACGCCGGGCGCATGTGCGTGCGTGCCCAAGATCCCGAGAAGAGAATGGAGGAGAAGGGATTGCGGCATGGCCATCCCCCCTGGGGGGTGATTTCTCACTTTCTGTTTCTGTCTCTGTCTTTATGGCGAGCGCACGCACCCTATAGCAAAAATCTCTCCAAAAAAAGAAAAAGAAAAAAAAGAAAAGTTTAAGTAGTCAAGATAAAAAGAAAAACGTACTATTAAAAAAAAGAAAAAAGAAAGAAAGAAAAAGCTGCTGGTGCCAGGGCCGGCAGGTGGTATGGTGGTTGAGGGGTGCTGGACTCCCACATGGCCAACCACAGTTCGAGGCCTTGACCTGGTGGCTTGCTTTTTCACTTTCTTGCCTTCTCTGGTCAAATAAAAATAAATGAATGAATGAATGAATAAAATTTCAATTCGAAAAAAAAAGCTACTGGGGCCAAGATTTAAATCACCTGGTCCCCTGTGTGGGTTCCAACTCCTTTAACCACTAGACCACAGGACTGGTCTCATATTTTAACTTCTCTGACTCTGAGGTATATTGTATTTGTTTTTTTTGTTATTTTAACAGAAAACATCTTTTTTTAGTCTTCAAAGAATAAACTCTCTTCTTTTTTCCAAAATGATCATGATTAACTTGTAAAAAATGGGCATACAGAGTCAAAGCATGTCCCTTACACGGGAAGCCTCGTTTTACAGCATCTACACATGAAGAGGTGAGAAAAGAAAAATCTGTTTTGTCGGCATTGTAAAACAAAACCGAATCTAGGCCTCGTTGGGCACCATTCACCCTCCAGCGGCCGCAGCTTCAGGCTGCATTTTGAAGTTGTCACGCCGTGGGTGAAGTGGCGGTGCTTCCCCTTCTTAGTGACAAACAGGCTGACAGCAAGACGCTGAGGCTGTGCGTGGGGGAGCCGCGTCTGTCGCCTGCCGCCCACAGGGCTGACCGCAGAGGCCACACTGCGTGGCGGGCATACGAGGAGGGCGGGGGAGGATGCCTCCCCGGTTGGCGCAGAAGGCTGCCCAGTGAGGGAGGCGCATTCTGTCCGCATTCTGGGCGTGCTTTGGAGTCGGCTGGCACTGGTGAGCCAGGCAGGGCCTCGCTGACACGCACTGTCTCTGTCCCCGTGGGCTGGGGCTGTCACCACCATGAACCTCGGTTTACCCGTGGGTATAACGGACGTGTTCTCTCCCTACCAAGTGCCTGGCACACAGCGTGTGCTTCTCTGGTGTAGCTGTGGCACTGAGTTCAGAGCACCCCCACCGGTCACCCCCACTGGTCACCCTGGAGTTCCTGACCAAAATCATCAAGCCTCAGTTTCCTCTTCTGCAAAACAGGCACCCAGCCCTCTTGCCCAGGGGCTCCGCCCAGCAGAGATGCGCACAGTGTGCCAACCACGGGCAGTGCCAGCTGTCGTTCCTGGCACTAGTGGGCAGGGCTTCCCTGGCTCAGAATCCTGGCCCGGCCCAGATGCCAGTGCCCCCCCCACGGCCACGGTGGATGCTCAGAGGGCCCCTAGAACCTGCCGCATCCCGGTGACAGGGCTCCGTACTGCAACAGCTTAACTGGATAAAGACGTCCTGACCTTGTGCCGGAGTGCCAGGCAGGCGTGCGGCATGTCGTACTCAGCCCTAAACTGTCCGCCTGGAGGGACACACTGCTCTGGCTGTGCTAACGGGCCTGTCCCGAAGGGTGGGTCAGGCACATGGTCCTAGGTGCCCCGAGGAGAGTCGGGATGGTGGAGCCCAGCTCTAGCGACCCCCGCTGTCAGCCCTGCCACCCGGCTCAGCACACCCGGGAGGGCCTCAGCGTGTTGGTCCACAGGTCCTGTGGAGCTGTGTGGTTGGTGGGGCAGGAGTGACTCCACTCTGGAGGTGACCGCGAGCGCCTGCCTGAGTTCTGCATCCTGCTGTGGTGGGCGGGGACACCGGGGACCTCCCGGCCTGGGCTGGACTCTGAGGTGGCACTGCATGCTCTAGCGTAAAACAGTAGAGGGGCCATCAGGCATGGTGGTGAAAGGACTGGCATTCCCACGTGGTTGACGGCAGTTCAAGTCCCACACTTGGCAGCTTGCTTTCTCACTCTCCCTCTCTTTCTCTGGCAAACTCATGTGAAAAAATAATAATAAGTGGGACCAGCAGTTAGCGTAATGGCTATGTCGCTGAACTCCCATGTAGTCGACCACGGTTCGAGTCCCAGACCCGGTGGCTTAAACTCATGCCAGGCGCGTGTGCGTGCGTGCCCAAGATCCCGAGAGGAGATGGAGGAGAAGGGATTATAGAGTGGCCATCCCACCTGGGGGGTGATCTCTTGCTATCGTCTCTCTCTTCTGGTGAGCGCACATACCCTATAGCAAAAACCTCTCCAAAATAATAATAAGAAGAAAATAAAATAATTCTTTTTTTTAAAAAAGTGAAAGAGTAGGGGAGAAGAGGGGAGAGAGGCTAAGACACACCAACCGGCCTTGGTGCCATTCCTCCACCTTCTGGGCTGCAGGTCCCCTCGGGCCCCACGTTGCCGTCTGGGCACCGAATCCCCACATCTCTGGAGGTGCCACAGCACCCACACCCTGCCCCTGTGTGGCCCCAGCCCCAGCCATGCCCCTTGCCCTCCCGGCCCATGTGTGTTCACACAGACACGCTCATCATCTCTGGCCTGGTTCATGCCCTCCCCAGGGCAGGAAGCACTTCACTCCCTGAGCGGCGGGGCTGTGCACGGGTCGGGGCAGCACCCCTGGACGGCGTCACCCAGGGCAAGGATGGCCACAAGCCAACAGGAAAGCGCCAGGGCTGCAACAGCCTGGCCAGCCCTTGAAACCCAGGAGGACGAGCCTTCCCGTTGACACAGGGTTCGCTCAGAGTGGCTCCACCCCCGTCAGGGCAGCCTGCTCTGCCTGGTCCGAACAGTGGGGATCTGAGCCCGGCGATGTGACAGGAGGTTCCGACTCGCCCAGGCTGACCTTTCCAAGGAGGCCTAGGGGAGTCCTGCTTGGATAGAAACTATTTTGGGAGCTGGTGGGGGGTTTTGGTACAGGGCTTGTGCACTTGCTGGAGAGACAGAGAGCCGGGCTATGGCCACACCATAATCCCTTCTCCTCCCTTTTCCTTGCAGAACTTTGGGCATGCATGCACATGCGCCCGGTGTGAGTTTCAAGCCACCAGGTCCAGGACTTGATCTGTGGTTGGCCATGTGGGATTCCAGCACCTTAACCGCTGTGCCCCCTGCTGGTCCTAATGGAAACCTATCTGCTGTTTGGTTTAGGTGTTTGGGTTTATTCTTTTTTTTTTTTTTTTTTTTAAGAGGTTTTTGCTATAGGACGTGTGCGCTCGCCAGCCAGCCAGCCAGAGACAGAGAGATAGATAGAAAGCGAGAAATCACCCTCCCTCGGGTGTGTGTGTGTGTGTGTGTGTGTGTGTGTGGCCACACTGCAATCCCTTCTCCTCCATTCTCCTCTTGGGGTCTTAGGCACACATGCACATGGGCCCAGTGTGAGTTTAAGCCACCGGGTCTGGGACTCGAACCGCAGTCGACTATGTGGGAGTCCAGCGACAAAGCCATTACGCTAACTGCTGGTCC